GTCGGATCATCCGTAAAAATGGCGAATGCTTCTGGGCCGATTTCTCATGGTGCAGTGGGAAGGACCCAGGTGCCGAAATCCTTTTTGGCATCTATCCTCATAATGTTTTCTGGTCCTTTCTCACCATGCATAACAAAGGCATTCGCTGAGTCTTCTCCGAGCGACATATGGACGCACTCTTCGTCATCCAGGGTAAGGTACCATCGGGAGTCACGGGTTACTCGGAACTAGTAAACCAGGGTTTCGGGTTACACTCTCTCAAGTTCATGAGGACGAAGGCTCCGGTTCTGTTCAGTGTTGCGTAGTACGGCACAGACGAAAATCGAGCGGGGCGGGCTCCCTGCACGTCGGCGTTCAAATCACTGTCAACTGGAGGGGAGAGAAACGCCGATTGAATCGTGGATTGGGTACACGGGATCAATGATTGCAACCGAGGTTCCCCGATCGGATTTATTCTTAGCTCTCCGCTTCCATTCAGCTAAAAACCACAAGCGAAGAAAGTTTCGAACTGCTCTTTAAGTACGAAGCAGCAATCTTGCCATCGTGAGGTTATAACTAATCGTCTGAGAGTGCTTCCAACCGGGTACCAGATGCAGCATAACAACCGTCTGAGGATTGCTGTTACACGTACCACTTACCCGAAATGAGAAAAATGCTGCCTATTAAATCGTGCTCTCTGCGTTGGGAAATCTTCTTACTGTCCATGTCGTCTGCTAATTGAGTAAACAGTGAAAATTCTTTTGAGTAACTCATGTTCAAACGGAGCATAATTAAACATCAGTCCTCTTCTGAGTTGACGGTACTCTAATGGAGCTGAGCAGTTCGAGACTCGTTTCGTAATGAACGGATTCGGGGTAGAAACCTTTTTCGTAGCAGCTCGTCGGACACGCCGATTGAGGGTTACGTCTTTCTTAAGCCCAGAGACAGCTTGGTTTAGTATATCCAATAGGCGGCATGACGTATGCCCCATAAAGTGCCTGGAAGTCCACGCGAGTGTCCACGCAGGTGTTTCAGACCATCCGTGTAAGGGCAAATGACTATTGGGCCGGTTATTCACGGTAAAGTGGAAAGGACGTATTTGTGGATAGCTCTCTAAATCAATCGTTCTTGGTATCTATCCTCGTGGTGACTTTCAATGAATTCTTAATATGCACGACCAATGCGTCTGCCGAGTCCCTTGCAGTTGACGCATGGAGGCATTTTTTGATATTCAGAGGAAGGCGCTAGTCAAATAAAAACTGCATTGAAGCGCCTAAATCCACTTAGAGAGCACTAACGTTGGAACGGATTCAAGTCGGCCAAAAAGGGAAGATACTTGAAAGAGCATCAAGAATATCGTTGACATAGATAAAAAACAGACTGGGAGTCGCAGCGGCAGTCGGTGCCAAAGAAGCACAGGTTGAGCCTACCTCACACAGAAAGTTCCACCTGATACCAATATCTTAATCAAACGTAAATTTTCCCTGTGAATCCCATAATATTCGAGGCTGTGAAGCAGTGGTACGTAACAATCACTTCACTTCAAGTGGGGGGAATGCCTTCCGGTACGCGACGTTTCCTCTAAGTTTTTGGGTAGACAATGACTGACCCTAACAAGCGGAAGGGTTTTGTCGCGAGCAAGAGCTGGTGAACGCACTCATTGGAGTCATCTCAAGGCTGTTCCCAGTTATATCTTTTCCAGTTCCAATGTGATGAGGTCGATGGAGATGAGTGCAGGCCTAAGTGCTGAAGCAACTAAACATGATATAATAATAATAATAGAGATAAGAGGTCACTGGTGCGTTCTCCGATTCCGGCCCTCAGGGAAGAGGCTGGTTACTTGCTTTTTCGGTGGTGTCCCATTTATTAACTGAGCACATTTTTGTTTTCTTGGGTGATATCAATTATTGTGATCGGTTTTTGCGTGTTCTGTCGAAAGATATCCAATTCACCGCGTTTATGCATCCTACAAAATGCGGCTTAGACTCTGTGTTAGGCAGGAATCCACACGGATCCCACTATACCGGACGTCCTTAGGCGCTGCTACGCCCGATAAGCCTGGCCAGCTGGAGGTTGGCCTAGAATTCGGGACGCTTGCCAGTCCGGCAACAAGACGATATCTGATTGGTCAACAACCCGGACCCAACAGCCAATCATGACCCATTATTGGCCAAATGCCGGTTGCCAATGGCGCATCCAGAACGCGTCAGAAATTCCAGAAAGTTGTAACCACTTACGCTATATATACGAAGCGCTGTACAACTGTTCTTGACTTCGTTTTGGGCATTAATAGACCTTGTGCACCTTTGGTGGTTGTTTTGACGTGAACGCCAGCTTGGGAGGTTCAGACCGAGAACTATTGCAGCACCAGCAAAAGCAGTTTGAGGAAGCACAACTGAAGCTCATTGAATCACTGACTCAGAAACTGCATATCCAAACAGTTATATAAATTCCTGTGCAACTCTTCTTCTCTTTGTTTTGGGTTTAATAGACCTTGTGCACCTTTGGTGGTTATTTTTACGTGAGTGCTCTCGTGGGAATCTGAGACCGAGTAATGTGGTGAGGAAAATAGCGTTACTGCTCTCTGTGTTCTATTTTTCCCTCGTTTCCTGTCCGCACCATTGCCCACTGGGCATTTCCGGGCACTTGAACTGCTTGCCATTTCTTTTTGTGTCGAATGTTTTGTCAGCTTCACGAATAGTTCTGTATATCTCCTACACTGAAACTGGTCCTAGTTTGATTTGATCAGGAAAGATACGCATTACTTAGAAGTCTGCACTGAATAATTTTTAACTCCATTTTTGAAACTCAGGGTTCCTGGCCCAGTAGCCGATGAAATCAAAGGCTTGTACTTGGTGACCACTTTGTCCCAATGGAGCTTTTGTTAACATTAAATCAATTAAATGCCATGATAACCAGATTCAGCGGGGATGATATTTAGTCTGCGCAAGTATCTGGTGGGTGTGACGACACGTTGAGCTCTATTGAACGGCCTTGGTCGGCCCGATCCAGGGTATTCACCGGGCCCGATGTGGTGGAGCCTCGCCTAAGAGGCCTTGGAAACTGAAATCCGTAATAGTATGAGACGTGTAAAAGTAGTAACTGGAGGAGTGTTGCTCAAGGATAAATATGAGGATAGTTCCCAGGTGAATTTGAGGGAGGACGGTTGACCATGCAAATGAGAAGCAGAACGGCCCAATGCGACTGGATTTGAATCCGCAGTGCATCACAAAATGATGCTGGCGTGCGGTCGGAAGGGACAATCTTGATGGGTAATGCTGCATGTAAGTACCGATTAACCCTACCTGCCCAAACCCCGCGTTTCAAGTCAGCCCTGAAATGGAATAACCATCAATTTGTTGTCCGTTTTAGAGACGTCTGACTTTCTGCAAACACAACTGCAAACGGCTGTCCAAGGTAAACCTATTCCGCAATATCACGAGATGTTCGAAAACGGTGAGGCGATTTGCGGAAAGCACTTCAACTCAAAGTTGGAAAGACGAAAGTTTAGCAGACTCAATACCTGCACGATGTGTTCGAGTCTCTAAGCTGTAAAGGAACCTGCTCAGCGTACTTGTCTGCTTCCAACTTGGTGCTTTCGAGAACTGCTGTTCGTTTGCAGTGCGGTTTCCCCATAGGACTATGGTTTGCGCGGGCCAATCGCATTTGAGGAATTCAGATTCCCATCGTGGATGGATGTGATTTTCGATTGTGTAGTGCCCTCTCAGCCGAATGGATTCTTTTTTAAGGGGAATTTGAGGGGAAGTTGGTCTATTTGGTTTCTTGAGTATTCCAGTGTATTTCGAACAGCATGGTATCCTCATGAGACGTTGTAGGCTCGTTCAGATGTTGGGTGGCACCATCATGGATTAGTGCTCTTCGTGACACTCCAAAATGGTTCTTTTCCGCGGAAGGCTATACATTGAATCCAGCAAGCAATTTCTTCCGTTGAGAGCCGTTTAGTGGTAGCATTTGGCCACACCCGCTTTTCCGTTGTAATCTTTTGGCTCCCAGATTGCCTGTGATTAGCGTGGTCAACTCGGTGTATGTGGGATTTCCCGATCCACTTACCGACTTATCGACATTGGCCATCGGATAAATGAATGACGAGTGAGTGCAAGATCGGACGAGTCTTTTGATGGAGTGAGGCTGGTGACTGGCGGTCTCACGTTTTCGAAAACGCAATTTATCAGTTGAGCGAAATTATTGGGTGGGCTGCATATTTGGTGAAAGCGTGTGACGGAATCTAATTTTTACTGTGCATGAATCATGGCGCGTCCAGCAAGGTGCAGTTCGTCCAGCAACTCTATTTTCATTCTATGCACCCCTACATGTGAACAGTTCTGGATGACATGTTTTAGTGCAGTTTTCCTGGCGGCTTTTTTCACCAAAGAATGTCATGAGCTGAGTCATCAATTCAGTGATATTCCTTAAGAGCTACAATACGACTTATGTCATCAGGCAAGCAGTGCGCCCGCGCTGTTTTTAATGAACAGGATACCAGAAACAGAAGAGGACATCTGAAGTCTCTAACGGCCTATTTGGACGGGTGTCATGAACCACTCGCTAACTTGAAGCATATAGCAGTGCTTATGGGACTAGTGGCTATTTCTCTTACACGTACTTTCCTGGTACTGTTTAACTCATGTAATGAACACCAGATTAACCAGCCCACCATCTCAGAAGTTCACTGCCATCAGCTCTTATACATATGATTTCCCCACAATTCTGCTCTACCTAGTACAAATCCATCCATCTCATCTCATATGATCACCTGTTGTCATCACCCTAGTCGCGGTAGACGTCAAATTCTTCTTTCTCCGTATTGTATCCTCAAACTCACCATGCTCTCCTAGTTTCCTCCTATCCAAAGCTTTGACCTTCGGCTATTCCCGGTTTGGATGACCCGCTTGACTGTTATCTACGCCACCCTCCCCATGACCTGCACCCACAGGATCCCCAAATTGTCCAAAAACATGCGATCCTGTGTCGCCTTCCTTCTACCTTGTTTCCTTGACCAGCCTGAAAAGAATCACGCTGCTCAAAGAATCGCACATCCCAGCCCAATGACCTTAAATGTGACGTCCGTTGCATGCTGTCCAAAAACCGAAGTGTTACAAGCCAATGATGGCAAGGCACTGTAATACCCAGTGTGATAGCACACCCGCAACTATTCGCTTATTTTTCTTGACGTACCCTCTCATCTTCTCGTTCTATTGACTGCGAATACGAAAAAGGTCCCCAAATGATCCCAGCTGCTGCCATGACATGTTCATTATAATCTGCTAAATCTTTTCTTCGAATTCGAACATTAATTTATGTCTGTGTTTCCCGCAAAATTCAATAACTTTCCACCCAGTTTGTGCTCCCACACGTATGTCGCCATCATCTCAATTTACAAAAGAACTATTAAGCCCGACTCCCCAACATCGACGCCAACGAGCCTCTACATTTCCACTATACACCACCTTTGTGAGATCTTGGTTACCACTTATCCGTTTTGCTGATCCCTCCACTTCATCATCTCTACTTACGTCTTTTGTGACCATTGCCATGAGACCAACAATCCAAGGCCACGAGTCTTTAGCGGTGTTTTTACGTTCTGATTCATTATGACTGGCTGGATGAAGCCAACTATGCTGTTTCACCGGATTTAATGTTCTGGTTCTTCATTTTTCATAATCAAACCTTTATTATCATATGTCGGGCAGGAAGCCTCTTGATTTGTTTTCCATCTGTTTTTACCCGCCACACTCAAATCACAACGATTACCTAGTACAAATCCATCCATCTCATCTCATATGATCACCTGTTGTCATCACCCTAGTCGCGGTAGACGTCAAATTCTTCTTTCTCCGTATTGTATCCTCAAACTCACCATGCTCTCCTAGTTTCCTCCTATCCAAAGCTTTGACCTTCGGCTATTCCCGGTTTGGATGACCCGCTTGACTGTTATCTACGCCACCCTCCCCATGACCTGCACCCACAGGATCCCCAAATTGTCCAAAAACATGCGATCCTGTGTCGCCTCCCTTCTACCTTGTTTCCTTGACCAGCCTGAAAAGAATCACGCTGCTCAAAGAATCGCACATCCCAGCCCAATGACCTTAAATGTGACGTCCGTTGCATGCTGTCCAAAAACCGAAGTGTTACAAGCCAATGATGGCAAGGCACTGTAATACCCAGTGTGATAGCACACCCGCAACTATTCGCTTATTTTTCTTGACGTACCCTCTCATCTTCTCGTTCTATTGACTGCGAATACGAAAAAGGTCCCCAAATGATCCCAGCTGCTGCCATGACATGTTCATTATAATCTGCTAAATCTTTTCTTCGAATTCGAACATTAATTTATGTCTGTGTTTCCCGCAAAATTCAATAACTTTCCACCCAGTTTGTGCTCCCACACGTATGTCGCCATCATCTCAATTTACAAAAGAACTATTAAGCCCGACTCCCCAACATCGACGCCAACGAGCCTCTACATTTCCACTATACACCACCTTTGTGAGATCTTGGTTACCACTTATCCGTTTTGCTGATCCCTCCACTTCATCATCTCTACTTACGTCTTTTGTGACCATTGCCATGAGACCAACAATCCAAGGCCACGAGTCTTTAGCGGTGTTTTTACGTTCTGATTCATTATGACTGGCTGGATGAAGCCAACTATGCTGTTTCACCGGATTTAATGTTCTGGTTCTTCATTTTTCATAATCAAACCTTTATTATCATATGTCGGGCAGGAAGCCTCTTGATTTGTTTTCCATCTGTTTTTACCCGCCACACTCAAATCCCAACGATCTGACCTTGTTCGCTATTCTCTCCAAAAACGCATAGTAACTGTGCTTCCCTGCAGTGCGATTTTAGTGGGGAGCACGCCTACATCGGATAATGCCCACACAAATTGGCGCTGTCCCTTTCTAACCCCCTTGTGCCCACAATCACTACCGGTCATGCTTTTATTCTGACCGTAAAATTACGATCACGTTTAAAGGCATGCCACCACCAAGTTGGGAATAAATATTATTATTACCTTCAAATCGTGGGAACGTCAGCCTGAAGCTGTCTCGGCGCCGACAATTTGCCGGTGGACAATCGTTACTACCTTGCCTACGTTTTGTTAGAGATTACGCTTGGCTTACTAGCTTCTTCGGATTCCCAGGCTTTCGGTTGGTCTTGGAGGCCACCTGCCGCATTTGTAGTACACCAGTTCGTAACGGTAAACAGCAACATAGCCAAAAGTTGCTCAACGAACGCTTGTGAAGCTACTTCCGAGGCCATAGCACACCAAGTTCAAAGCCCAAATGTGCGCCAAAAATTTCGGAAGGTGAGCAAATAACACAATTTTCAAAAAAGCGTGGACGGGTGAGAGTGATTTCTGGACTAAGCGTATATGTAAAGAAGCGGAATATTTTGACGTTAAAGTTTTTATTTTAATCACGGAGGTTGTGAAGAAAAATGCATTGTGTGTCGAAGGCGTGCCGACTAAGAGGTCGCGTCTTAAACGCATACCCAAAATTTATCTGAGACCGTGGTCCAAAAAAGGAAAAATTCAACATGACTTTTAAGCATTCGATGATAATTATTCGAGTCTTCAAGATCTCCCTAAGCAGCCGCAGTTTTATTAGAGGTTGTTTAAACGAACTTGGAGTCCACCCAGCGCGGAATTCGTATTTTAATGGCTGCGTCGGGCGTAGTCTTTATGAAATATGGAAAAGCTGGTTCCTTCACGTGTTTTCTGACTTATTAGATTTGAAAATAATCTGAAAACCGGCTAGGCAATAATTACGCCTATTACCTCCACTCAGAATCAAACTGGGGCGGGCATTCGTGACCTGGATATGGAAAATACAAACTGGGGATTCGTGACCTGGATATGGAAAATACTTCTATGGTTGCGGCGAGCATAATAATATTTTTATTCCCAACTAGTGGGTAGCATAGCATAGGGCATGATCATAGCATTACAGTTAGAATAAAGGCGTGACTGGTGGGGTTTGTGTTTAGTGGGAAAAGGGAAAGTGACGTAAACAGTAAACCTTATTGGAGTAGAGTTTATCACACCTGAGCTGGCATGGGCAGGAATCCAAAATTACAAGGTCTCTTTATGTCCTATGGAGAGCATATCAGATGGCACGAGATCTGAACGTTGAGGTTTAAAAGTGGCGGGCAAAGAAAACAATACAAGTGAGGGCATAACAAAGAGCTTCCAGACTGGAACGTGAGAAAAACAAGAAAACTTCAAACTACAGGAAGTGTAGGGCCGGAATGATGGATATGGCAATGCAGCAGAGCTGCCACGACATGGCAGGCCAGTTTGAGCTAAAGTCCGGAACCGTCACTAGGGCTTCATGGCCTTGGGCTATGGCGGATGGCCACGGAAAGGTATGTGGGGGTGGTGTAGTGGGGTAAAAATGTATTACGGACAAACGGTAGCAGGAAACGCAGAAGTACAGTGTGCAGTGAAGCGACTCACTAGTGTTGCAGATGAAGCAGGGTCGAGTGTAAAAGTTTCTTGGGAAACGAGTTCACGCAAGCTGAGCAATAATTGACTCATTCGGTGAGGAGTACGAATAAAAGCCGTCGAGATCTTTGCATCTGGCAGAAGGTTCGGCAGATTGAAATGAACGCCTTCCGGTGGTGGCCGGGAACAATGAAGGTTGATTGTGGTTGTCGGTATGGGAACCAGTGAGCGAGAGGGCCTGGACAAACTTAAGAGGGGAACAATTGCGGGTATGCTATCAAACCGGGTATTCCAGCGCCGTACCATCACTGCACTGAAGTACTTCGGTTTCTGGACAGCCCCGTGGTGGACGTCGTGAATTAGGTTGTTAGGCTGAGATGTGCAGTCTTGTTGTTGTTTTCCCTTTTATTTTCAGATCGGGGATCCCTTCCTTCGTGATGCACGAATCGGGTGGAGTTGACAACAGCCAAACAGATAGTCCATAGCGCGCATTACCACGGGTCGAAGCTTGGGGAGAAAATGAAATGAGATGAGATCAATAGGGTCTGGAGAGTTATAGGGGTTATCAGACAGGATATAGTCCTTTAATAGGGAAAAAAATGATCGTCTACCACAGTTATGGAAGGACATCAGGTGATTAAACAAGACAGGATAAGGATGAATCTGTACTCAGTAGTGTAGTCATCAGAGTGAAGCTAAGATTGTCAATATAACTATACTACCTGAGACAGGACAGTTTACTGCATGTGGGCTAAGAGGCGGTGTGGTGAGGGTAAACCAAACTCGTAACGACTGGGGGGTGTAAATTCCTGGGGGTTGTTAGTAAGAAGGACAATACTAGGACAATCTAGGAAGGAAGGTGGATGCGAGGGAGAAGGTCCCCAGTCCCCGAAGCACTACTATCAGCCTTAATCAGTGAGTGGTGCGTGACGAAGATTTTTCGATGCTATCCTCGGATGTTGATAGTGGAGAGTCGGGAGTCTAAATGTATGTTTATATGTGTTGTATGTGTCCACTCCTGGGAGCAGCAAATTTGGTTTGTCATTTTTGTTTGGTTGACGAGGTAGGTTTTGGCGCGGTGTAGCCTCGATATTGACGAAGGCAGCTACAGCAACGCACGTCGACGTAGGCCATGGGCATCGCAGAGTTTCTTCTGGCTATCCCAGGTATATTGATTTTTTATTGAATACTTTTGGACAGGCGAAAAGGCCAGTTTTTGTTATTGTTTATGGCATTGCCAAATAGCTCAACCGAGGCGAGGCCAACACCAGCAGTAACAATCAGAAAACAGCAGTGCTCTTTTTTTTATTTCCCGAATTTAAAGGCCAGGCTCAGAACCACCGGCGATGGGCGATGCACCCGTGCTACTGGAGGGGTGGTGGGTATACGAACGCACCATGGTGCAACGTAACAGAGCGACCCTCTCTGCAGGGCGTACCCATCCACCACACGAGGTTTTCATCCCTCGTGCATGCTACCAGATCTGCAAGGTGGAAAACCATCCAAGCAGTCAAAGTGCGGTTTTGTGCATTAATAGACTACTCCAGTTACCAGTTTTTTTTCGGTCGGGGGAAAGCAAGGCCAGTAAAAACAGCTCAATCAATTTGGACAAGCAGACAGCAAACAGTCGCTGGCAGAGGCAAGTCGCGGAGGAGGCAGTGAAATGACAGTTGCCAA